CGAATTAGCAAATTAATAAAAAAAAAAAAAGTGTGGGAGAACCGCAGCGTCGACAAAGTTTACAAGCAAACAAACCGCAATAAGGTCACCGTTCTCATCACCAAATCAGCCGCTTCACTTGGTGTGTTTGGTGATTGTGGCCTAAACCCCTAAGTGCCCTCTTGTGCATTTATTTTTATCTCGATTGGTCGTATGAATTCTTCTGACAGACATAAACCTCAGGTGGTGATCAGCAAACAACAGAGGTCTCTGCTGTTTGGAGGGAAAACAAATAAGTGTAGAGGTTTAGTTTTTTTTTTTTTCTTTTCTCTTTTTTGTCGTCCTCCCTAGTTTCCTTGGTAACAGCAGAGCACTCCGATGCAGCAAACTCTCCGCTGAGGAGACAGAAACAGAACAGGACAGCTTTTTCTTTTCATTTATTTCTTTATTTTTACATATTGCGATGCATATTTTATCTACTTATTTTTGTACCCGTTGTGCTTCTTTTAATCAGCCGTGTCGTTATTGGTGACGGAGCGACGGAGCCGTGAGACGGAAAATCAGAGGAGAGATGAAAACATGTGCCCCGGAGAGTTCATCAGACTGTTTTCTGAAGCGTAAAATAGATCAGAAATCAGCTGAAGAAGTTCAGTTACTCCTGTAGAAAGAGTTTCAGCCACCTGAAAATGAATTAAAACAATGAGACTGGAACGCTGAGACCAGTTCAGATAGTAGCTGAAGACTCTGACTGTGTTTGAGCTCGTTTTCCTGCAGAATGAGTCGCCTCCCTGCAAGACTGTGTGACGGATAAGAATCTAAACATCTAAAATGCCTGCACAGCATATGTGTGTGTGTGTGTGTGTGTGTGTGTGTGTGTGTGCACTGCAGGGGTTGGTTTATCATCAAACTGCTTCGTTTTAATGGAGCTTTTTCTTCATGTCAGGACGCTCGGGCTTCACGTAGGCGGTTTAGATGGAGTTAACCATTAAAAAAAAAAAAAAAGAAGAAGCACGAAACGCACCCTGCGGTGGTGCATCACAATCAGAGCCACGCAGAGAAGAATAAAAATCTGTTTCACAATCTCAGTGTCATTAATGCCAGAAAGAAAATGTGGAGGTGAACTCACAAAACATCAGCACAAGGACGAGTTCACGAAATCAAATCAGTGAGAAAAAAAAAACCACAGTGTTACTGAAGGCGTCAGCCTGGAAAAGTCATGACTGAGTGGTGAGTCATTCTCCAGAACCTATCGCTGTCCTCACCTGTCACTGATGCTGCAGCATGCGTTTGTTTTTTTGTTTTTTTTAAAAAATCTTTTGACCAAGACAACAATGCAGCAACCTGGCGCTGCTCCCCCCGCCGCGTGCCGCTGTGTAATTCAGCGCCGATGTGCCCACGCAGGCCAGCGTACAATTACCATTCGACCATGAAATAACAGGTTCCTGCTGTCACATTTTGAAGCTGAGACGTGTCAGAGCTGTGATTAGCTGCCGGGGTCAGATCCCAGAGCTGTGATTGGCTAGTTTCAGGCCAAGTGGAGCGTTCACATGATTGTCGTCGACTTGTGGGGTTTATATTTATATAAATGTACAAAATTAAATCCCAGCAGGGCTCCACTGACGCATGTCTTACATTTTGTCGATAGCATCTTTACAACCACATTGTTCCTTATCTTCTGACTTTATGTAAACCTGATATGAAATAAGTAATGAGTTGGTAACCCTACATGAGATGATCACTAAGCCGCATTACGACGTCACTTTATTTCTAATGTTTATGAGCTCATGGCTCATAAACCCTCTGATCTGATCTGTTGCAGACAAAGTACTGATTATCAGATTGAAGGCTCATGAAAATTGAATTGTATTTAGCCTTTTTTTTTTTAGCTATTACGAAGGTAATGCTAACTCTCTCTCATCCATTCAGATTCATATTTAAACCTCACATATGATGGAAAATTCAGGGTCTTCTTGTATGAGGACTCTGCAGTCAAGTCATTTGGAAAACAGCAAGTTGTGAACACTTTTCCATTTTAAATATTTGCAAGCAGCTTTACTGAAGAGGCCGGAGCCTCCGTGTGAAGTGACCGGTAGGATTGGTTGGAAAATGAGTTCAAAGACTCTCAAAGGAAGCACAAAGGGATGCAGCATGACTACAAAGAGACACAAACAAGGCAAGGAAATGACTACAAAATGACAAAAAAGGGACTACAAAGACACACAAAACTACTATAAAAAGACACAAAAACACCATAAAGTGTCAATACGTGACTATAAAGAGACATTAATAATAGCAAAGATGCAACATGACTTCAAAAAGGCACAAATGACTGCAGGGACGCACAAAATTACAGCACAGAGACGCACACGGAACGACTAGACGTTGTCAAAATGTGCACAAAGAATTGGAAATTGACCACAGTGTGACACAAAACAACTACAGAGACACAAATTACCTACAAAATGATGACAGAGACTGCAAAGAGCTGCCACAACACCTACGAGGAGATCAGAAATGTCTGCAAAGAGATGTGAAATGACAACTTAGAGCCACAGTGAGACGCCTATAAGTGACCCACAAACAGGCAAAACAGCTGTCGAGAGAAACGACGCAAAAGCTGCTAAACAACTACAGACACACAAAGCTGCAAAGGGATGTGAGTCGACAGCAAAGAGGCACAAAGCGACCCCGGCCCGGTGTTGCTTTAGCCTTGATTTATTTATTCAGGATAGTTCCGCCGAGAGTCAAGCTCTCCCGAGTGCGAACGTCGTGACCACGCTCAGACGGCTCGTTCGCATCGGTCTCGCATTTATCCTGCGGGGCCCGGATCAAAGCGGGGAAGTCGGCTCCTCCGCAGCTCAATCTGCAGGCCGACGCTTCGCCCAGCTTGTCATTACAAAGTCATATTTAGAAATACTGCTCATTAATTTGTCCTCCATCTTTATCGTGGCACAGCAGAAGTCTCCAGCCACCGGCGGTGATCTCTGCGCACAATGTGGCTCCGCTCGGCTTCCCAGCGGGGGGCCGTCGCATTGTCCTCAAATTAAGGAAAAAGTTAATTAGTGGATACTGATTTCAGAAGAGACGGCAGAACGATTTCGGCTAAGATTTGGAGAGAAAAGGGGGGAAGGTTGTCCGCAAACGTCCCCCTCAGCGTGAGGCAGGAATAATCCCTGAATTCAAATGTCGAGCTCGAGGCGCCGAGTTCAGTGTCGCACCCAGAGGAGTGGATGAGAAAAAAAAAAGGAGTCAGAAATGGCGTAAATGTAGGTGGATGTTGCAGCACAATAACAGCAGCTTTAGTCTGACACTGCGGACTGAGACCAAGTGACCCCACAGCACCTCGTCAGCCATATTATTGTTATTATTGCTCCTATTCGGGGGATAATAATGTTGTCAGATCTCAGAGTACAGTTCCTATAATTTGGGAGATGTAAACAGGAATTATAACGCCGCTGTGGATTCAGTTAATTAACTCCAGCTCTGCACATCGTGGCAAATTAAAAAGTACGCTTGCACGAGCTTTCGGCGGTTCCTGTTTGTACTACACTAACGGGCTGAAGCTGAAACTATCTGTGTGTTCGGCTGAGCTGTGACTCAGAGAGAGGAAGCACGGATTTCGATGCAAATTGCAGCAATCAGGCTCTGAAGGCTTTAAAGTACCTGAATCGCCTCCACGAGCCGCCGTTGCTGCTGCTGCTGCGACTTCTGACTCCTGTTGATAAGCAGCCAAAATCTGCAGCCAAACTCTCGACAAATAGCTTCCGGTTGTTTTCACTCCGGCGCGCACCTGTTCTCTTCACCTCGGCTCCGGCGGCCTGCTGCGAGGCTCACCTTCCCGTTTGAAAAGCCTCCGCCACGGAGCGGTCCTCCTCTGACTCAGAATGAAACTAAATCATCATTTGCTCTTTGAGGATTTTGTTGGTTCAAATTCCAATAACACAAAGAGCAACAAGTCCTCC